AGCCATTCGCTAAAATCCATTTAGTTCTGAGTCAATGTTCAACATCCACTGTATGGAGTCTTGCTCACGTTGGACGTGCCGCTAGTTATAGCTCATCACCAATTTTAGTACCTTAGCACGCGAGAGTCGTTCTTCCACGCCCATCTCACAGTGGGACCAATTGGGTGGATTGCATATCCACTAAGCTTCTTCACACTCATTTGACAAGAAACGGTCACGATGAAGGGTTGGATGAAGGTTTGGATTATGACAACGGGATTGCCAATGTGTGGATAACGTGCTATGCTGACAGCATATTTCACTGTACAACGGTATTGATATTTCACTGGCTTGACGTGCGTCTTGCTGCAGTTCATGTAGCTATTGCACCTGGGAGTCTACTGGTTGGTTCGTTGCCTAATCGCCACGCGCTTGCTGCCGTCGTTGTTCACATGTGCCCCCCACTAGGGAAACAAGTGGCTCCAACATGGGAGCTGTGGTCAGAGTCATAGAATCACCGCGTGTCAACGTGGGCCTGTGTATCAAAATTTGCAGGTCCAAACATTCTCCGTCCACACGGCGGGTGCTGGCAGCGGCGATAATTCATGCGCCTGGGATGTGTCAGAGATGCGCTCCCAGGCTGAGACGGCTGCGGGTATGCATAGCGATCCTTTCAGCGCCATGGCATGGCAGCCAGATCGCCCTGAAGCAGCTGCCAAGACCGTCCTAGTTCTGGAGTATTGCGACCGGGGCTCCTTGAAACAGGTGATCGCCGCTGCTGCCTTTGGCGCTTCCACGCAATCTTGAGGATGCTGCACTGCAGAACAGGGGGGCGGGACGCAGTGGGCGGCACCAGTGACGTCACCCCTCGGCAGGCAGTGCACTTTCTCCCATATTCCTTGGATTCGCTTCAGCGCCAACCGTAACCGAAGTGCTCGGCAGCCTGCGAAGGGTACCACCGCGAGATCCGTTTGAGGTAGCTTGGTGTAGTCACGCAGCACAATCGTCTCGAGGTTTATCTATGGGGCATTTTGAAGGATGGCCACTGAATTAAAATTCCGCCACTGTGGCTTCCGAGAGCCTGCAGAAGCGCCAGACCTAATGCTCGAAAACCAAGAGGGCATGTGCAACGGCACCAATGTCCTCGGCTTTACTTGTGCCTCGTTCCAGTCCAGGCCATCGAGGAGGGGCTGTTTCGCAACGGCACGGAGAGTGAGCGCATGAGGCACGTTCTGCTGACAGCGCTGGACATTGCCAATGCCCTGGCCTACCTCCACTCCGTGGGGATCGTCCACGCGGATTTGAAGGCGGGAAATGTTCTGCTCAAAAGCGCCAATACGGACCAGCGGGGGTTTATGTGCAAAGTCAGTGACTTTGGTGAGTGGGTGCATGAGTGGTGGGGGGGCGCTGCAGCAGCTGAACGGCGTCGCCCTTTCCTTCAAATCCCGCGTTTGTGACACCGTAGTGAGGGATTTTTCATTTGTGTTGTGTATGCCTTTCTCATCCATGTTTGGGTTGACAATTGTCTGTGGAGTGCCGCCTTCCATGCAGCAGGGCAAGGCACAACGGACGCAAGCGGCTTTGATTACGTCTGCGGTGTGACCACACCGAATGTCCTGGCACTTGCAGATTCTTGCTGCCCTGCAAATAGCACCACGCTTGCCTTCCAGTGTACTTGTCGTCATTGATGTACGTGTTGAAATTCTGCATCTAATGCTTCGATCAGTTCCACTAGAGTGAGCACCGCTACAGTGCGCACAACTAGCCGCAATACGGACAAAGATCGGTTCATTTCCAAGGACGTTCAAAAGCGCATTTGTGGCTGCATCGCTACCAATCGCGCTGGTGGTTTCCCTCGAGCATTGGGTTCCTTCGCTCATTTCGAATCTGTGATCTGCAGGATTGAGCCGAGTGATGTCGAAGGGTAGAGAGATGCAAACGTTCACATACGGAACTGTGACTCACATGCCGCCGGAACTGCTGCACAACGGCGTCATGACCCCGGCCATGGATGCGTACAGTTTCGGCATGCTGCTGTGGGAGCTTCTGGCAAACTGCAGTCCATTCTCGGGCATGAACCACGGGCAAATCATTCTGTCCGTAGTTGCTGCAAAGAGGCCAAATTTGCCAACATTCCTACCCCCGAAATATGCGGAGCTCATACAAGACTGCTGGCAGCAGGACTACGGAAGCAGACCCACATTTGATGCGATTGTTGGGCGGCTGAAGAAACTGATTGTGGAGTGCGCAGAGAAAGCAGGGCCTGCTCCAGAGGTGCAGCCTCAGAACGAGGGTTTTGACTCGCCACCGGACAAGGAAATGGACGGCCACAGATGCGTGCTGTTGGAGCACTCGTCGCCAGCTTTCAGGTGCAGCTCAGCGGACGACGCCCTCGAGAGTCCTGGAGCCGGGGATGCCTCTGCACTGGGGTCGAAAGTTCCGGACTTCAGTTTGTCAGAGGGGTCTGAAATAGGGGCACAGGCCGCGTCTTTATAAAGGGGGAATGCCCAGCGAGGTGTGCCATTACGACGGGCGGTGTGCGGCACTCAAGTCAATGGACACGGAAGAGCCTGATAGGCAAACCGATGTGCAAGCACCACATGAGGATGGGGATGTTTCCACTGCCGTGATGTATTGACAGCGAATTTTGGTCACGAGGTCGACGAGGTCGACAGCGAGGCATCCACCCATGGATCAGACGCATCGCCTGTAGCTCAGTCCAGGCGCTGAGGATTGCAAGGATGCACACATCTGAAGCATTTTGGTTGCTGCTGTTTGCCTAGCGCTTGAGGCCAGGCATTGTTCCCTGAAGGCCTTTGGCATGGCGCTCTTGGCTACCAGGCGCGCCGTTTTCGCCTCACCGGCTCGAATATATTGCCTGTTCATTAGTAGCACGCAGGTACTTATACACCCGTTCTACGGGCTCATCATGGTTGACCGCAACCGCTTTCAAGGCCTGATCTTCACAACAGCATTCTTGTACATTTCCGTAGACCCTGCGGCGTAGGGAGAATGGATTGAGAGGTCAAGCGAGCCCTGATGGGAAGGGACCAGCCTCGTTGTGCATCAGGGCAGCTGTTTTGCTGTCGTTGCCTTCCAGTCATGTCCTCAGAAAGAGGCACAACGCGCCGCGTACGTCAACCGATGACATATTTTCACAGTAGGGTTCGCTGCATACCGCCTTCAGCGACTGACCTCCACGCTGTCAACAGAAGCACTGTTGGCACTCCACCCACCCTTCCTGTGATGCAACGGTCCATCTTCCCATTCCAGAACCCAGACAATCCTGATGGGAACGCTGTCTTAAAAGCGTGGCCCTTATTAGCGCACTTGAGGAGGCTACAATGTTGCATTCCAGTGCAGAGTCATGTATTGGTCGCAAATGCCTCCGACCACAAAGAATAAGTGTTCCTTTGCCCCACGTGCACATGCAGTGGTGATCCTTGGGCGCCATCCCTGTGGCTGCTAGGTCTATCTAAGATACACCACAGCCGCAAATGCACACAGCCTATCACAACAGCCGAGATCAACCGCATCGAGTCCTGGCCGACGCTTGTAACCACTCCCAAGGGCAGCAACAATAGAATAATATACAGTTGTGGTTGTTTCCTCATGCAAAACACAGCGTCCCATCCCCAGCACTCTGCACTGCACTTGATTATTCACACGATCGCTGGCGCGCGCCTGCCCAATAGTGTGCACCAGCTGTGCAGATCAGCAAGCCTGGATGTGGCCAGAGCGCAGCACAATCGCCGCATCCATCTCCTAATCACGCTCCAGCTGCAAAAAGGGCCAGCTACGAATCCCCTGTGCGAACCTACCCAAGCTCTACAAAGCCCCACACATCGCCTTTCCGCTACCACAAAGGCAGGGACCTGCACCACAAACGACTGTTCCTCAACAGCAACAGTGTGAGACTATCTGAGAACCCGCAGTCTGTTTCCACATCAATTGGAGGGAACAACAGCAACAAGCTGGAGGTGTCCGGCTCCTGGAGGGGTGCCCCAGCCCACCCCTGGAAATATGCCACAGCGGCCCAGAAAACCCCAAGTGCAGCGGCCATGTGCATCAGCTCAGACGGCAGTAAGACGCTGGCGCGGATCACATCCCATACCCAACCGTACTCACAATACGAATCCAAAACTCCAGGGCAGAGAAGAACGCAAGAACAACTGACACACACGTGAGCTTGGAGCAAACACACAACCTTGCATTACAGCTCATACGGACCACAGCCCAAACATAGTCCGTTTCTCTGAGACCAGATCTCAGGGCCGAGTCCTTCCCTTGCAATCATTTGACGGCACGAACTTAGCCATTCGCCCACAAAGTGAATTCACTCCATTGCACCAGAAGGGATGCACTCCAATGGCAGCTGTGCCCACCCACCAACCAGTGCATTCCCTGCTGCTGCTCTGCGTGTGGCCTGAACGCAAGTTGATCCAAGCACACTGACCTTGACATATCCACCAACGGTTCACAGTGCCTCGACACACACACCACGTCTTGCGTTCGCATGACTTCAACCATCAACTCGTTCGAATATCCTTGTCATCGCAGTGTCTTTACGAGGGCGCAGGCCTGCACAATGGACAGCACGTGCCCTCTTGCCTTGGCACCTGACTTGGCTGCCACTCACACCATTCCCTCAGCGTGCATCTGCTGCCCTTCGCCAGTTTTCCAGGACATCAAATGAACACGTGTTCAGTTTGTCATGCAGCACCACATGCAAACAAGGAGCCAGCAATACTCATGGATGCTTCATTTCCAATTTCAATCCCATTGGGGTCACCACATCGCCCACTGATCAGCTGACGTCGTCATGACACAGTGCACCAAATGGATGCACAGGAGGAACAACGTCTCCTGAGTGAAACTCAATTCACAAAGCGAGGCCAGTCCTCAGCACTGCGCCCCCCAAAAACGCACATATATGCATTCTGGCGATACAGCTGGCATGAAGCGGCACAAGGAACGCCAGGGAATCATGCGCTCAGTTGCACCTGGCAAGTTCATCACAGTCATGTGGGCTGAAAATGGAATGACGAAGAGGAATGTTCACTGGATCGAGTAACCTGAGATGCAGCAGACCGGTAGCCATCAGAGGACCCAGAACAATGCGAATGCGAATCCGATTCTGAATCTATCTCGTGACTGTAATCTGCTATGAAACCCGCAGAATCCTGGCGCAACACAGGGCATGCGCCCTTTGTCTCTCCTGAGTTTGTTGTCTCGTAGTAAGGGTTATTGCTGCGCACTTCGGGCAACGTCGTGGTGGACTCTGCAAGTTGCAAACAAAAAACCAGTGAACAATGGGCATGTCAACCACAGAAACATAAACAGGACCAACCGAAAAAATGAACCAAAAACCAGCAAGCTGTAACCTGCCAGTACGAGCATGCACTCCACAAACGCGCAACACCAAGACCTCAGAATTCTGCTTGCTGGTTCCTGTCGATGACTAAACACAGCTCCTTCTTCAAAGGGAAATATATTCCTGGTTGCGCACAACATTGCAATATCTCAACATGAACATGGGACACACTGCCATTCAAAGCTATACCTCATTGAAATCAACGAGGCAACAGACAAGCACACAGCACCACCCTGGCCAGAGTCCTGCAGCTCGTACTGGCTACGAGAAGGATAAAGTGACGATGCATGTTTGTGTTAATGAGATGCTAAACATGTGATCAACTTTTCCGCTAATCACAATGCCATAGTTTCGAATCCCCCACTGGCAGTACACATGGACATTTTTTGTCTACTGGCTCGCTCGCATTCTAAGAACCCTACCTGGCAACACCCCAGCATCAAACTTTCTCTGTAGAGACTCAGTACACTGTGGTCCTATCAAGCTTGGCTCCCCAATTCTTCTGATGAGCGACAACGAGCCTGCCGAGTCGGTCACTGCAGCACCGTTGGGAGTTCCGTATGTCACCAGATTGACATTCATCTGCTTTAGCCGTCGCACTATGTCCGGGAATCTTGGTCGGTCTTGCCGATTCTGCTTCCAACAGTCACGAATCAAATCCGCATAGCAGTCAGGGAATGAATCATCAATGAGTGGCCGTCGACCTTCATTCACAACTGCCAGTATGATTTCCCCATGGTTCTTTTCGGAGTATGGCTGCAAATCTGCGAGCAGCTCCCACAGAAGCATTCCAAATGAGTAGACATCCACACTGGGGGTCAGGATGCCATCCTTCAGAAGCTCTGGCGGCATGTGTGTTATGGTGCCATACGTGAAGGTCTGAATGTAGTCATTCTTCCCCATGAAGCGGCTGAGACCTGTGAAAGCATCAACAGGCCTGCTAAACGCACTGCGCATTTTGAGCAGCAGACGTTTAGCCTGGGATGCAGACTGAACGCCAAACCTGGAAAATTTCAACTCAGCTTGCTACAAGCAAGTACAGGCCAAGGCCTGGGAAGTGCCATTAGTATCACACACAACAAGCATGACCACGATCCCATGCACACGCAAACCTTCCTTATGCCATGCTGTCTCTGAGTGTCCTCTGCTGCGCGCGATCGTTCTTCTGCAAGGCAAGCTCCACACCAAGGAAAAGCTCACGTTACCCCAGACATGGTGAAGCCTGGCAGCCCTGCAAAGGTGGTCTGGGTGAATAAGCGCACATGGTAGAGCACTGAACTGTTCATGCCACTGTCATGGTTGCAGTGTTCAGCCCCAGGCTCACCAAAGTCGCTGACTTTGCAGAAGAAGCCCCTCCTGTCTGTGTTGGCACTCTTCAACAGCACGTTGTCTGCCTTCAGATCTCCATGTGTTATTCCCAAGGAGTGCAGGTAGTTCATCGCATTGGCAACATCAAGAGCAGATAACAGCACATGGTCCATCCTTGGTTTCCCTGTCTTATGGTTGCTCAGCAGTCCCTTTCTCACTGCCTGTGCAACCACGAATTTGGGCCATTCAGTACCAGCACCATTTTGTTCATCTGCTTGAGCGCGTGCCAACCCCAGGCCCTCAGCCCCATGCCATGCCGCTTTCAGCCAATGTAATTAAACACACTACAACCGACTACAACGGCCGTGGGCAACAGATCAAACGCTCAGTTGCTGGCAACCTGCTCCACAAGGTATGTGCACTTTGTACAGCACAAGTTCGACAGCAAAGGACAATGTGATGACAACCTGGAAAGCATGAGGAACTAGCTATAGCCAAGGTGTTGGGTGGTGCATATGCAAACACATGCGCACGCACACGCACAGATGTGAACTTGCAAATCACCCAAAACACTGGCGACAAGCAAGGGACCATCAACCACAGACACTGCCTGCCTGTCTGCCTGCACAAACGACAAAAACAACCTGCCACACCGGGCATGGCTCACGAGTAGCCATGCAACTCACCTTTGCCAGGGATCCTCTATCGCAGTACTCCAGAACAAGCCAGGTCTCAAATAGCTCGCCTCCCTCATTGCCGACTGAGCCTTTGGCCATGTTGCTGAAGATGTCATGCGTCGACATCAGGCTGTTCTTGTCGCCCATCTGGTTCAGAGAGTCGTTCAGGTCCATCGTGTCCACAGTCACTCCATGAGGACTGTCTTGCTGGCGTGTGTGTATCAAGAATGTCTGCACCTGGATGCCCAACAAAGAGTTGAAGTCAGCAAAGCCTGGCATAGGGAATCAACAGCAAAGCTCGTTGCTGTTGCGACCCAACCATCATCAGTCTCTTCCTTGCCAGGATTTGAATCACGAGCATGAGAAGCACATTAGCGGTTCAGTAATAACAACAGCAAAGATTCAAGGGTTCAGCATAATCCAGCTACAGTGCGGCCTTGCAAGGAGCGGTGCACTGATGCAGGTAGGACACTCACCACATTCGGGTGGGATATGTGTTTGCTCAGGTAGGCTTCAAAGGGAAGCTTCAACTCGTTCTCCATGAGTCGCTCTCCATGCTCAATGACCTTGATAGCCACAGTTGTTCCTTTCCACGTCCCTGTACAGCACCAGCATGTAAGCATCCAGCACAGGCAAGCCATGCGACATATCAGCTGCACGTGGCTGGGTTGATTCTGGGTTGCTTGCACAATAGTACTTGCTTCCCACAGAGCCCCTGCCGCAGAAGTCCAGAAGGCCCACAGGTGCGTACTGCGACAAGCCAGGCCCATTTCACAAGGATAATTTTCCCTGCATTCAGCGTGGATGCATCACGAGTCTGTTTCCAACAGCCCACAACGGAACCCCCAGTGTGCAAGGAACCCAACGGCCCATCTGCACATCTGCCAGCCACCAACAAGTGCCACAACCACAATTGTGACCCCAACTTGCAAACCACGCAACCGCTCTTCCTCTGAGCTTTGCGTTGCCAACTTCATTGGACTGCAAACCACTGGACTGGTTGAGCGCCCGCCACTGGTGCCGCCACCCACCTTTGTACACCTTTCCGAAGCCGCCCCTGCCAAGCAAAGTGCCGACCTCCACATCCTGCAGAGGAACATTCATGTTCTTTGCGAACAGCTCGATGGCAAACGACGGCCCTCCGGCCCCTCCTTCTGCTTCTGTGGGACACAACCAGCCGATCAGCAAACGACGGATACGGTGCAAATGCATCGAGACCCGGCCCATCACGAACCTAAGAGAACGTGCGGACACCGGCAGAGCGCCAGCGCTGCGAATCAGATCCATGACTGGCGGAGGGAACGAACGGAGCAAGGCCGCACAAACAGCGGCTCGAGTTCGCGAACCGCAAGCGCACAAATGGGGCGCGCGGACAGGGATGCGGCGGCTGTTCCACTGGCCAGCAGGGGAATATTCATGGCATGGAAGACAGCAAGGAACGGTGAAAGCGCAGCCCACAGTTTCAGAGCGGACGCCGCCAACAAAAACTCATGGAAATGCGACGGTTCGGCCTCAGAAACCATCGCCGCGGCGCTCACAGAAATCTTCCGATGTGCATGCGACACGTGCGAGGCGCAGCGTCCCGCCGCTCAGCGACCCCACAGGCGCGAACGGCCGCGGCAGTTCCTGAGCGGAAGGAGCACGACGCCACGGGTGGCGACGACCCCCGCGCATCGGTCCATTGCGCCCACGCCACCCCCTCGCACCCCAGCGACAACGCGCACGCAAAAAGTGCAGCTCCCTGTCCAAGGACCACAGAGGCGGCAACGCCGAGCCGTGACCCCGGAGGCTGGGGCGCCCGCCGCGAGGGCCCGTGGGGCTCCTCGTGAAAGGCTGCGGCACGCACGGCCAGCAGAAAACGCGTCCCAGCTCGCCTCTTGCGCACCTTTCTTCATCGCCATCGCGGCCTGCGACTTCATGTTCTCCCTCGCCGCGCCCGCGGACACGTGCTTCTTGATCCTACGGACGTGGTAGTAGGTCATGCCCGCCGTCATGGCCACCACCAGGCCGGTCACCGTGACCACGAGCACGATTGTCCCCACGATGCTGGCGCCGCTGCCGGGGCCGCCCACGCCCCGCTGCGCCGCCTCCGACAGCGGCAGGGGCAGCGCATCGCTCCCCCCGTCCACGTTGGCGCAGGACGACGACACCCATGGGCTGTCGAAGTGCTCCGCTATCCTGGCGTCGAAGTCCTCGGGCACGCCGCACTCGATCACCGCGTTGCAGACCTGCCACAGCGAGTTGACCTCGGGGAACCACAGGGCCACGTCCCCCACCAGCACCGTGCTGGGTCCGATGGCCCGCGCCCTCTGGCGGCCGGTCAGGAACTCCGGCCGGGGCCATCCCGCCACCAGGTCCTCGAAGTCGTCCACGTCCACGCCGCAGGAGCGCACGACGACCACCAGGCCCGAGAACACGCCCGTGGCGCCCTTGCGCGTGTCGATAAACAGCAGGTCCAGCGCACCCGCCAGCCCCATGTCGTCCTGGAACATCAGCAGGTCGTGGAAGTACACGACCGCGGCGCGCTCCACGATCAGCACGTGCTGCACGTTGGTCCAGTTCACGGACGCCCGCGGAGGCTCCGTGCCATCGGGCCCGCCGCCGCCGTCGGCCGCCGCCAGGCCCTGCGTCACGTCGAGGTTGCGCCGCACGATGATGGGCTCCGGCCAGTTCTGCCTGGTGCACACTATGTTGTCCTCGATGAGGATCCGCATCACGCTCTCCCGCTTCAGCGCCTCCTGCAGCTCCCGGCACGTGCTCACCCGCTGGGCCACGGACTCGGGCGCCTGCGCCAGCCCCCGCCCGGGCCCGGCATCGCCCGCAACATCCCCTGACGACGGGCCCCGCTCCCCCACCACCTCCGCGGCCGCGACCGCGCAGATGAGCAAGGCCAGCAGGGCGCGCCGGCGCGCCGGCATGCCTGGCCTCCGCGCCGCCCTCTCCTCACGGTGCGCGGCAGAGTCCACGGCTACAGAATCCACCCCTGCTCTGCAAAGGTCCCCTGCCCGTCACTTCCTTGGTACCTGACACCGTGGCGGTGTCACCGCCGGTCCGCCAGCACCTTCATGCACCGGGGGCCGCTCAGCGCGCGGGGCCCACCGGGAGCGCCCACGCACTCAAACACCAGCCCGCTGGCACCCAAAGGCCCCCGGCGCCCCACTGGCCGAGAAAGAACGGAGGTCCGGGCGGAGGCGGTGGGGCGGCTGGCGCTGTTGCCCGTGTTGGTGGGCGGGGGCGCAGCGCCCGTCCGGGGATGCGGGCGATGCACAACGGGGGCAACGCACAGGGCGGGGAGGGCGCTTAGTAACACGTTGGGCGCTCGCGGTGATCGCCCCCTGCTGCGCACTGACTGGCCGACGCAACGTGGTTCCCCTTCCGCTTGCTGGTTGGCCGTTCGAGAGCGTGCGAAGCGAATTTTTGAGCGCCCGTGCCATACTTAGCGTCGTACTTAGTGCAGTGAAGCGTGCCCTACTTAGTGCCGTACCTGCTGCTGCGGTGCCCCACTCGATGCCATGCTTAGTGCCGTACTTAGTACTTAGTACGCTTAGTACCGCGCCCAGTCCTGTACTTCGTCCCACACTTGGCGCCCGGGGGATGTTGACCTGCATTTACGCCCGGCAATCAAGGGCATTATCGAGTCAGTGGTGTTGAACGCAATGGACGAGAGCCCCAGCAGCCGCACATAAAGGCCGGCTGCCCTTCCGGCACCTACTGTGGGGTCAGGAATCTGCTGGAGGCAGCGGAAAGGCGTTTTGGCCGCCGACGGGAGCGCCGCAGCGCAGAGGGTGGGGAGGGCGGCGCGTGGTACCGTTGGCGGCTTTCGGGGGCACATCTCCTTGGGGGCGGGGTCGGTCTCTGTGGCGTTCCTCCTGCCGTGCTGGGCACTGAATTTGATTAGATCTCGGCAGCCGTTCGGCAACTGCCAGACTGGCAAGGGAAGAACCGGGGAGACGAAAACTGTGCGCCAATGGCCCTGGTCTCGTTGCTGGCGACGCGCGTGGCGTGAGGAGGTCGTTGCTGATCGAGTTGGGTGTGAACGCCGCGTGTGAATGTCCATGCATGCCATGGCGCCGGAGGACTTGTTATTCCAAACGGCGCAGTCGTTCGGCCGAGTTGCAGCGGGTGGACCCTAATGGCAGTTTCGCTGGTGCATTGCGCAGGCTTTGAGCCGCAAGCCGATCAGTCGGGATGGCGTCCCTGTCCGAAGGCAACACGGCGGAGACGGTGGCCGACAGGGCTAAGGAGCAGTACGACTCGGAGAAGATGATGACGTTCTATCAGCTCGTCATGGGCGGAGGCGGCTACGATATCCACTACGGGATCTACCGGGAGGAGGGCTGGGGCGTTCAGGAGGCCTCGAGGGCGACCACGGACTTCATGATGAGTCTGATGGATTGGATGCGACCACTTGGGGAGGATTCCAAGGTCCTGGACATCGGGTCCGGTCACGGGGGTGCCATGCACGCCATGGTGCAGAAATACGGGTGCCACGTGCACGGGCACAACCTGTCGGAAGAACAGAACCGCTTCAACATGGAGGAGTGCAAGCGGCTGGGAATCCTGGAAAAGGTGTCCACATCCGTGGGGAACGTCAATGACGGATTGCCGGCGGACTGGGAGGGCGCCTACGACTTCGTGCACAGCTGCGAGGTGTTCTGTCATGTGGCCGACAAGGCCCATCTACTCAAGGAGGTCTGCAGGGTGCTGAAGCCAGGAGGGATCCTTGTCTTCTCTGACATCATGGGAGCAGACGACGCCAGCGAAGAGCTTCTGAAGCCATTCACAGATCACAACGCCACCCTGAAAATGGGGCGGCCCAAGGCGTACATCGAACAACTGAAGGAGTCTGGGCTGGTGTATGTTGCCTGGGTTGACATGTCCCACCACCTCAAGAAGTTCTTCCTTCAGATGGTGGAGCAGATAGACAAGCACACGGACGCCCTCTTGTCCACAGGGTCCACGACGGAGTACTTGAACAACTGGAAATCGGGCCTCACCAACAGGGCTGACAAGCATGCTGCATTTGCGTGGGGATTCTTTTGCGCCCGAAAACCATGAGCTCATTCGTGGCTGACACTGAATATATAAAGTGGACATTGGACAGCGGAGGTTTGCAGCTGTAAGGCTGGCATTGGGATAGCCGTGTCTCAGAGATGAGTTGTGGTGCGTTTTTTTTGGCAATGCTCATTGCTGGAGTCCAGTGCAGGTGATTTGACAGGCGGACAAGCACCGGCAACGCGGACCAAATTTTTGCGAGCAGAAATACCATGTCGAGGGACATTATCTGGTTTTTCGATGAGGGTGCTTGCAGTGGGGGCACTGCTGCTAGAGAACAGCATGTGGACAGGCCATCGCAGATGTGCAGTGTTGAAACATTGATTGATCTCCTTTTCAGTGAGGCTGCCAATGTGCTCACCCTATTTGACAGCCCGTTTGAAGCAAGCGAACATGCCCATGGCAGGCACTTGCACTTGTGTTCACATCGCTGACAAGTACAGCAGTTAACTGAACTTGTGAACATACATGTACTTGCATCTGGTATCTTTTTCAGTGGTTGGTTGCAAATGGTCCCCTTCCTTGCAAGTTTGGTTGAGCATGCCCATCTTTTGGATGTAGTGCCACCCCACCATCAGCACTAGCATATGTTATATTGACGAACACACAGCAGCGGCGGACTCCTCGTGGACAGATTTCTGGAACCAGGATTGAAACGCTACAGTCCGTTTGTGACAAGTGCACTGACAGCAGTCCATTGGACGCTGCAAACTTTTCTTTTCACTGTTCGCTGTCACTGGTCATGCGACATGCACCAAGGTCTCAGAAGACATCATTTCTTCTCGACAATCGACGACCGCCCTCCGCGCACGCTGCCTGCCCTGTCACGAGCACAACGGACATGATATCGCGCTGCGTGACAGCTAGTTGCCAAGACAATGTCCAAATCGATGGCACGCAGGTACAGACAAATGGTGGCGACACATTCACGATATCTAGAATTCCACCATCCTCACCGCACACACATGGTGTCTCGAACAAGTCCAGAGCAGTGCACGGTTGCTGACGGTCGCAACCCGTTTAAAACCCAAACAGCAAAACACAGGGTCGTTGTCAAGGCCAGTCGACGGTGCCAGCGTCGCCGCAGCTCTGCATCCTCGCGTGCCCCCAGAGGTCTGCATCCAGCGCAGCCAACGCCCCTGGCATCGTGCATTGTTGCGCGACGTCCCTTATTTCTGAGCCGGATCAGGAATCCCTGACTAAACACATTACGCCACCGAAGCAAACCGAAGTCGCGAATCGACCGTATCCCCACACTCCCATCTCGTCTCCCATCATCACAGTTGCCAGAAACCGAAATCTCAACTGTTTCAAAATCGCGATGTGTCAATTTGTTACCGTGCAAAGCGTGGAGTGATGTGTCGATCCATTGCACCTTCAAGCAACTCAGCAACATGAACGGTGGAGCTTATTGACTGCCGTCTGCCTCCATTAAAGGCCAGTTCCATCGTGCCGTGCACACAACACTGACAGAAGCCCCACTATGCGGCTTTCTTCACCATCTTCATGGCGCTCTTCTGAAGGATGTGCGACAGCGGCAGAGACCTGTGGTTGTTGTGGTGGGCCAGATATGCAGCTGCGATTGACACTAGGCAATAACCAACCGTCTGCAGCGCCCACGCAAGCGGGAGGTAGACGAATGCGAAAAGAGGCAGAACAGCCAGCCTGGCCACCAGCACACACGTACAAGCGAGCCTGTCAGTTGATTTGATTGAAATTGCAAAGTTATTGACAAAGTTAGTAGCTTATTGACAAGCTTACGTACAACGCAGTACTTTGCCCACACAACAATAGCAAGCGATAAATATCTACACATCCCAAGTGCTTGCGCTTTCCCCACTTTGACTTGCGCAGCATTTGCAAACGGCAGTGTGAGAAAACAAAGAGAGTGATGGACAATGAACTTGCAACTGACGAGGGAATCGGCAAATTCTGCGTATCAAGGCACTGCAGCGAATCTTACAAGTTGGCGCGGCTGTGGCTACCATAGTTTCATTACAAACTCTACCGTTTATCGTTTACCATATATCGTATTTGGGACCGTCACTCAGGCGACGGACGAAGATTTTAGCGCACAGTGGATACGCCATATGCACCCATGAGGGAAGGCCAGGTGAGAGGGACGGCAAGTGCATGAACAACATGCAAGTGAACGGGTGAGTAGTGAAAGGGGAGCAAGGTTGATCCCAAGCGGCATAAAGGCCACCTGGCGAGCAAGCCTGCACCCCAAGGCTACGCTGGGTGGTGTACTTAACAGCATCCTATGCGCCAATACGCAGCAACATAGGCCCACGCAACGTTATCAGCTACATTCTCTGGGCCGTTTCTTGCCTATTCGAGCGACAGTCAAACCAGAGATTATGCGGGCCCATGGGGTCCCTGCACATGGTGCCTGGCTCATGGTGTGCATGCCAGTTCGATGTTGCGTTGATTGCTACATGACGCCCAAGGGATCGTGATGATGGCCAGTCCCTTTTGTACTGGGCGCGGCCATCCCAGGCTAGTCGTAGACACTGTTCCCAGAGAAACGATACTCACGAGGAACTCTCACCTGATCCATTCGGCATGCAAGCCACGCAGCGTCTCATCCATCATCATGCCCCCTGTCGTGAACGCTGCTCCACAGTTCAGCACTGCAAGGATGAGGGTGAGGGGCTCCATGGTGTGCGCATATGCCGCTACTGCCAGGGCACAGGGTCCACCAATCGCCAGCGCTTGGATGGCGACGTAAATATCGATCCAGCACAGAGGCCGCTGATCTATGGGGCCTTCACTGGGCTTGATGGTGATTTTGCCTGTGCACAGCAAGCAGCATCACCGTTGCTGTTGTTCTTAATGCACGAGATCTCTTGCATTAAGAACTTTGCGCTCAAGCAAAGTGAAGAAATCAATAACGAGACTCCTGGAACAGTCTTCTAGCCAAGTGATGGAACTGCACATCAGCAATTGGCACAGTGGCAAAGGCTGTCCGTACTATGCTTCAACACGTGCTGAATGTGCAAATTCGCTGATAGATGATGCAAACTGCTGCTGCGGACAACGGACTGCCAAACGAATGCTGTGAGAGCTGTTACACATGCCAGCAAACCAACTCAGAATGCCGGTTGGTGTTTGCGATAGTGTCGATGCAGCAAATAGGACCGCCAGAGATCACTGCCAGTTAAAAACACTTTCAGACGATGTGACAGAGCAGAGCGCCAAGCCCTTGCAAGCAAACCAGCCGTTGATGCAAGCGGCACCATGAACTCAATTGCCAATGCATCAACAATCAAAATTCAGCAGGTCTACGCAGTGGCAACGTCGTGCACCACTCTTACGCAGAGTGGACAGGATTGAATTTGTGCAGCCTGTGGAATTTCGCAAGAATGGGATAGAACACAAAGCGAACAAATGAAGGAAGGATATTTTGTTGCTGTTGCAGATGGAAGCATTCAAATTGTCGCTGCCCAGCAGCAATCTTCAAATTGCACTGCGCTATCACACAATCTTGAATATATAGTAAGTCACTGTAATTTGCAACAAGTCTACCAGGGCAATTTGGATCAGAGAACTGTCACAAAAGCACCCACCTTTTTCGTCTTTCATTGCATCAGTGACCAGTGGAGACACCATGTCCTTTGAGAAAGCCCTCGTGAAGAGCGCCTTGATGGGGTTGATGGTGAACATCAGCTTGACGGTCTCAATCCAATGCTGCCCTTGATGCCACATGGGGTTGTATGTATCCATAGATATACGCAGGGCATCCAACCCATAAACGCACTCAAGATCGTCCCTCTCGGCTTCGAACGAACCGAAAATACGGTCCCAAATGATTAGAATGCCTGGCAGGAACATGTTTGTGGGTCATCGCACCTTGTATCAGCAGCCAAGCCCAAAATCTGAAACATTCCAGCAGGTCACTTCTAGACTCAGCCCAAAGCAATATGTAGTGCCAATTGCGCACTGTGTCAACAACACCAACACATGGCCTCCGCTGCATCAGTCCAGGGAAGTCATTAAAATGAATGCCAGACGCAATTTCTCGGCAATCCAAGTAGAGAGTACTCGCAGTTTGCCAATGCTTGTTATGGACACATTCAAAGCATCCATGCTGTCCGCCAATTCTACGGAGCGGAACCCGATGGCCCCGCTGTACTTAACCATAAAACCGGACATTCTCGCAGAACGACGTTGCCGTGCTTCTTGTCGCGTCCACAGCTATCACACGCATCCACAGTGGTGTTATGGTGCAGCTACTTGCGCCAGTGTTCTGCACGACCGACAGATGAACCCTGCGACTCGTGTGCATGCCGCAATTGCACCCTCTGCTGGCACCCACCTCCATAGTTCGCCCTGCCATAGTTCCGCGCGTGGTGTACGCGGTGGTGTGATGGCGTATTCAGAAACCACTCCAGGGGCCCAAGCTTGCCAATCAGCCGAGTGTGGAGGAAGAACTGGTAAACCAAATTGACAGTGCGATGCCAGAAGTAGACATCAGGGGAGACCACCAGGCCAAGTGGCATGTAGAACCAGCAGGTGATCTGCGCAGCCACCCCCCACAACACATGAAAGACATGGTAAATGTGACACCAAACACAAGCAGATGTGTTCAAATTTCTTTCTGGCATTCCTGCGAGTATGAGATCTTGAGATTTGTGCAGGCAATACACAGATTCAGATTCAAGACCCCGCGGCTACAACATTGACGCCTGACTGCTGCAAGACTTGTGCGAATGGATAGGAGACGAGCATTCCGTATGCTTTCATGAACCATCGCCTATAGTGTTTAGAAAAGGAACCAGTCTTTCGACAGATGGCCGCGCCATCAACTGAATGGTTGGACCTCTGACACCCCCTGGTGGGACGCACCAATGGCTCTGTAATGCCCTGGCGCATTGCAGTGATGATGTTGAAGTCTCTTGATTGGTGGTGGACGTAATGGCCTGCCCTGCATTGGGACGAAAGGAGATGACTCGTGTCAATGCCATACATCAGAAGATTAATCCAGGCCAATATGTCAAAAGATACCCTTTTCACTGTGCGGTTTGTGGTTCAAACCGACATGGCAGGCACACTTCAAATGCTGATAAACTCTGCAATTCTCCCAAGCCATGATATTCGACATGGCAGGCACACTCCAAATGCTGATAAACTCTGCAATTCTCCCAAGCCATGATATTCCAGTGCAAGACACTATCAGTGCCAGTGCGTGACACGTTGACGGCGGCGTCCACGTCAACAAACAACATTTTCATTGTTTGCCTATGCTAGTGGCGTACGCCATCATTCACTGCAACAGCTGCACGTGACAACAGAGCTGCAAAGGCTTCACGTTGAACAGAAAAGCAGGGTATGAATCTGCATCGCGCCAGGATTTGAACATGCACTGTGGCCGACCCACTCACCATCCAAGGTTCGTCATGTGCGATATTCTATGGTACCAGTAAAAGGCCAAGTCAAAGCCAAGGAATCCCATGAGGTTCACCCAGGGGTCGGTGTAGCTCTCGGCCGTCCACGGCGCCACCTTCCTCCCCACGAAATGGTATAGGACCAAGAACGGAAACACGTTAAGCCCCCTCACGAAGATCCCTTGAAGAACAGAGAGCCCAAAACACTCAGCACAGATGCACTAATATCGCGGCACATTGTTTCGGGTCTGCCATATGGTTTTGTATGTGTGCACGACAGCCGACACGGCGCCAGGAACGGGCAAATTCAGCGGGAGGTGCCCGTTGGGCTGCCATCCCGTTCTTAACTCCCCAGCAAAATTGGACCAACAGCCTACCTCCATTGGCAAAAAGGACGCCTATTTGCCCTATATCTGTTTTTCTTTACACAACGCCGAATTGAGATTGATTGTGCAAAATGCAGGGTATGCAGTTGTTCAAACGTGGGCAGAACTGTGCAGATGCTACTTGCGATTTGCGGTTGGTACCACGTTCCAGGAGTGCTTGCGTTTCAACGGGGCTTGCTGATGCCCAACTCCTTATGGTGCAACTCGTGCGCCAACACTGTGCATTCATCCCCTTTCTCAAAATTGCTGTGCGCCATCCCGCGCGGGGGCGTCCACGTCCGATGGGCGTCGCTCGCTGCCGCTCCCCGGCTCGGGAACTGCCACGATCGCCACATTCGCGCATCCGGAGCAGGACATATGCTGCGCTGGACCGTCCCAGAACAGTGTCGGGCCCAACTGGACCGGACGGCGACAACTGGTCCAGCTGTCCGGCTGGCCTGCAGGAGACCAACCCTGACCACATGAACACACAGCGCCGGGCCCCAGGCACAGCCCACGAGCGGAATTTAGCAGCGTCGGGCGTCCCAGCACTGGTTGCCACGCGTGGCCACAAAGTATGTGCGGTATCGCGATCACCAGCGCATCGCCAACAGCAGTGATGATTCCATGGCGATTCGGCGCCATTCACATGAATCCATGCCGATACCCCATGCGCGACGGCCGGGCGGGCGCCCGCGGCGCGGCGCCGGCTCACCCGTCAGCACGAAGCCAATGAGGCCCGACAGGAGGTTGGACATGGTCTGCCGCCTGTAGTACACCTTCTTCCTCTGGAACTCCGACACCACGTACTCCAGGGTGGCCATGACGAAGTACCAGGGCAAGGCGCTGCGCGTGAAGTCAGGCAGCTTGAGGTCCGGCGCGGAGCCGCCCTGGATCCACCGCGCCCACGACCCGGGCATGTAGTCCGCCTCCCTCTCCATGATGACGGCCCGAAGGGGAGGGGGCCCGCGGCTGACGGGCTTGCGTGCGCTTGTGGCCACTGGCTCGACGCCTCGGCGGCTCGCTCGCTGCCCTGAGACCGCCCGCTGTCCGGCAACTACCGTGCAAGCCCTCCACGGTTCCCAGCGTCCCAGCGTTGGGGTCCCAGTGTTGGCGGTCTTGGGCACTCGGGCCCATTTGAAGGCGTGGTTTCGGTGCGGCCGACGTGACGTGCTGATGGGACACTGGAGCACGGCGGTGCAGGTGGCCAGCGCCAGGTGGGCGGCCTCAAGGCTCGCGCCCGGGGCAACTTTGATGCGGTTGTGATGAAAATCAGATGTCAGGAAAATGCGAGTTTGCACTTCCCGTTCTAAACCAGCACGGAGGAGCGCGAGGTCTGGCCGTGGTTGCCTCCATGCTGACCCACAATCACGCCCGGACGGGATGCGCCCCGGTTGGGCCGCCATTGCGCTCCACGCCCCTCCCCGCACCACACAGGTCCTTGTATCAGCATCTACTATGTCCGTGCCACATTCTTGTTCAATCGCCCCCACAAGGTTGCATGGGAGCGCACCAGCTGGCTTGGGCGCGGCAGTCCCAACACACTGGCCCCGCAGCACTCGCGCCAGATTTCCAGCTCACCGTTCAGGCACGCGCGGCCAGGGCTGAACAGCCAGCTCGCCAGGATTTGCTGAAACTGTCTCTTTTGAGGAAATGCAATATCCCGGCCCTGTCCACATGGCATTTCTCGCCCCTGGCACATGATACAAGACCCAATATTCGGCTGTGCACAGCGCAGAGTTTGTGACGATTTGGGTAGAACTGCAAGGTCGCTTTACATTGACCTGGCGGCTTTCACCCAAGAGCTCGCATCGCCAAGGCCACGCCCCGAGCCATCCACTCTCTGAAAAGGCGGCCTGGCGAATTCCGCAGGTCGGAGACATGGCATTCGCTCCACCTCGCACCGGAGAACATTGAACCCCACACAGATCTCACTTCAAACTTGGACCAAAACCGTGGGAGTCACACGGCACGAGTGCGAAAGCCGCATTTCACCAAACCGGCGTCAAACTGTAAAGGTTCAATCGATGGTTGGTGTTGGACTCAGCGTCTAAACGAACACATCAAATCTGGCTTGGAGTCGCGCGGTTCATTTCTATTTCGGGAGACCATCGGGGACGGCGGCCAATATATTGGACAGAAGATACTTGTGATTTCCAACGACTGGGACGGGTAGATATCTGCGATGAGCACTCTGCTTGCTTGTCGGCATGATGTTGATGGAACAGTATACAAAAGTACACGGGGAGTGTCAAGGGGTGTGCCCTTGTGGTGTCGTGCAGCGCCATCCCAGCGCGTCCTTGGGCGGTCCTCGGGCCCCGAGCACGCCGTCCCAGCGTATCGATACCGAACATCACGAAAATTCCCTGACTTGTTTTATGCCGCCGGGTGGGTTGAGAACGCCTCCGCGGCCCATACATACGGGTCGTACACACAGGGTGGTATACACCACCCAGTACCGTTTACAACTGCCAACGACAGGCCGCTTCCAGGCGGAGTGCCCTCCATTGCCCATGCACTGTGTGCTCACCAAGGTACGTGTGCCAAGTACGAGGGAATTGAAGGCGCTCAGAGTCAAAAGATCGCTGTGAACGCAGGCGCACCGAAAACCAGGACACCTGGTACGGGCAAGGCGAACGCCTAACTCCTTCCTGACAGCTAGCCCCCCCTCTGCATGTTTACAACAAACCAAGTCCTGCAATCTGAGCGGCCACGCAAGACAACAGGGCCATTTCATAATGCTGGCCTGGTGATCATTTGAAAAGCACAAAAATTCCCTTCGCAGCCATAGACACCTGTCGCAACATTTCCGCTTCCCCAGGGGGCTCTCGACATCGCCAGATGCGTGCAACCGCGTCCCGATTTCACTCGCTTGTACCCTTGCCCATCTTCCTCAAGAACTCCTCGATCTGACTCTTGAGATTGTAGTTCGGCACCAGCGATGCGCTGGATATCGGCTTCTTGGTCATGGGGGACGTTCCCCTGGCTCTGATCCATTTTACGATGGCCTCTCTCTCGTACGTGTGACCGTCAGCGGCTGTAACAGGGTCAGACATGATCCCATAGGTGATGGGACACAGGAAATGTTTCGGAATTGTCCCATCCGAAGAGGCCTGGCAAGACATACAACCTCGCGCTTAGTCTCGGCCCACAATACAGAACAGGGGACGCGATATGCACTGTTCGCTACCCAAAAAGCTTCAGCACAGGCCACAGCCTACTGTGTCGGGATCCAGGTGAGAAGAGGGCCAATCCAGGTGAGAAGAGGGAATCCAGTCTCACCTGCGCTGGGAGATCTCCTGAGCCACTGTCTGGCTCCGCTGGTCCCGCCTCGCCCGTTTCATCCGAATTATCCCTTGGTGTGGCAGACTGTGGTCCACTTTTCATTGCCTCGCCCACCATTTTGACAATGTTCGTGCGGCCGTTCTGAGCGGCCAGATGGAGCGCCACACGACCATCCTTTGTCTTCTTGCGCAGGTTGCATCCAGCGTCGATGAGCTGCTGGACAACTCCGTCGTGGCCGTTCTGTGCGGCAACGTGTACTGCCAGTGCGCCCTTCTGGTTGTACGTGTGCATGTCCGCATTTGCCGCCAGAAAGAGGCGCACCACTTCTTCGTGGCCTTGTATTGCAGCAAGGTACAGGGCACTGTCCCCATCCTGGCGGAAACAGCAACGCATTGGATCCCAGGAATTGCTTGTGAAACGTCCAGGGGACTGCATTCTACGTTACAAGCAGTTGAAGACGATTTCCATGATGCTCACATGCGTGCAACGCGGGAACTCTGCTCGCCACGGCGAAGAGCTTACGCTCTCCCATCGCAGCAGGCCGGCCCATAAAAGCCAACAACACTGCAATCTGCACGAAAACTGTGACTGTGTGTATTGGCACCAAGGCCGTATATCAACCCCTTCCCGTGCATCAATGGAAGATTTCGTGGCGGGCTTGTCGGCCCTCTACCTATTTCGTTTGCATTCAAAGCGTGGGCGCTAGTCCCAATGCCATTGCACACCAGCCCGAGTGGCAATTCAAGAACATCTTCCAGCTTTCGAACGACCACATGTGATGCAAACTCACACCAGTGTCGCACGAAGGAAATGAAGGAAGAAATGTGCGCAGGTGCTCGTGCTAACAGCGGTGGGAAACGGAAAAACACCTGCACTGTGTTGGCTCAAAGACAAATCCTTGATTGGAATGGCTGCAAAGTCAACAGACCACAAAAACAGCACAAATCTTCTACTTACGCCATCAACAGCATTCACATCTGCCCCAGCTTTGATTAGCGAATCTGCAGCACCAGGTGCGTTCGCCATGGCAGCCAAGCAAGTCGGTGGCACAGTTTTCTGCAAACGAGCGACAACAAACACACCAACGTCAGGGGCACAAGACCGAAAGAGCAAACAGTATTTGCACATCACGAGATGCACTTGCAGGTCACCTAACAGAAACACATCCTCTGCGAAAGCTCAGACACGTCAAACAATGTCCACTATTGAGCTCCCTAGGCATCTCATCTTCGCAGAAAGATTCTTTTCAGAATTCCGGCACGTCTGCTCTGCCTGCTACTGAACACAAAATGGCCACTATGAGTACAATGGAGGTCACCGACAGCATGGTATTGTGCATCAACTCCGTCCTGCACCTGAGTGATCGACAGATATTCGATAGCCTCATACCATGTTCCCCACACTTCGAAACACTGTGAATATGCCTGGCGTTGTCAGCGTGCTCTTGTATGCAGCGGCCAGAATCATCCCATTTCTTGCATGGGCACCTAAGGCCCTTGTGCATGGCTGCCTCACCTTCGCTTTCAAGTTTACATCCGCTCCTGCCCCAATGAGAAGATCCACGATCTCCACGCATGATCGGTGTATTGCTGCGTGCAGAGGTGTCAAGTCATCCTCTGAAACTGTGTCCACTTTTGCACCCCTCGAGACCAGGAGTTTGGCGATATCAGGCAGCTGATTGTTGGCAGCCACGTACAGCGGTGTGGTGCCATCCTAAGATCGAATCATGCACACAATAGTTGTCACACACAGCCTGCAACCATTCAGTCCTGGGCTGTGCAGTCGTCGACGCTCCGACAACAGTGTATTCATGGACAGACTGAGCGCCTTCGCTCTGAGGACAGAAGGGACATCTGGACTGCATCGCCACTGGAACATAAAGCCCTGTATCCCTGACAACTTCAGTCCAGTGTTCCGGAATGGCACAGACATTAATCTGCAGGCAGACTGCAGCACAAGTTCCACACAGCGCTCACCTCAGCTTGAGCATCAATATCCGCCCCAGCCTCCAGAAGGAGCTCAATAATGTCCATGTTGGCACCAATCACAGCTGCGTAGAGGGATGTGCGGCCACCCTGTGACAACACAGCTGCCAGCTATTAAACATCAACTCAAGTGTTGGGCACCATGAGCAGCAGATGCGATGGGAGCCCTCACAATGGAGAAGACCACTTCTGTTCAAAGAAAGCAAAACGACTTGAAAGATGCGAGTGCAATGTGAGGCAGCATGCCCATTGAAGTGTGCCCGTGCGATGTGAAGGTGCGACAGACCTTGGCAGAATCTCAACACTCTCTGGTGAACATTTACGGAGGCACCAGCATACAGCAGCATCTGTGCAACGTCCTTGTCACCATCAACAATAGCTGTATACAATGCATTCACTTCCTGATTGAGACACAAACATGCAGAACCAGAAGTACCCTTTCCAGCTTTGTTTGAGTACCAACGGCCATCACCAAAGCGCTGCTTCTGGATGCAGTTCAAGCTGGCATTCTACCCTATTTATACAGCACGAAGTGATTACCAACCATGCAGTTCCATATCCCCTGAATAACTTAAGTTGGCACAATTTTATGCCCACCTTCTGCCCAACATCCGGTTTAGCACCGTGATCAAGTAGCAGCTTCACCAAGTCCTTATCCTCGTGCGCCACAGCAGCCATCAATGGTGACACTCCATCCTGTGATTCATGAATTGGTACAAGACGTGTATTTCAGACAGAATGATGCCATTCAGCAGAGACTAATGACATCAACTGTCAGCATAATCTCGATACTCTGAAGCCTTCAAGTGTATATATGTCAACGATGAACTTGCACAGGAACCGGTGCTAGCAATCATAATACTTCACACCCAGGCTCAAGAAACAGACAGTACTCAAGTGCGTGTAGAGAGGTCCAGGGTGGAAAACAAATGGAAGCACCTTTGCACCATACAAGGAGCTAGCTGCGCAGCATAGAACCATCGAGGGGCTGCGCAGCCATGCTCTGTGCCTTTCAATGAACCATATGGAAAGCACAGCGCACCGGTTATAATTTTCTGCTACAAACCTGAACAGGTAATGGACCAGGGTAGGAGAAGACTTTCATTCATCACATGGTTCAAGGCACATGTTTACGAGATTGCATCCATTGGATGACTTGGATGAGATGAGCAGAAGAAAATTCACTCTTAGAGGCACACAGCAAGTGGCACTGCAAGGAAATGCACTAACATCAAGCATTGACAGCACTGGGCCAGTGCTGGGCCAGGCCCCATTCTTGAAGCGGATTTCAAGGCTATGTATCTGTTTGGAGATCCACCAGCATGGGATCAACGTAATATCCTTTATAATGTCCATACTCCAGGAAGATCGGACTGGACTTAGTGATGCACAATAAATAGAATTAGTTACAAGTATGTGAAATGCGTGGTACACGACACAGGTGACACTTAGGAACATAGGTCGTTGTCTCTGAACTCGGATCGCTGGAACAGTGAACAATTCCATTTTGTTCCCAAGTTTGCACTCCAAACGTGGTGAAGACCAGAAACGAGCATTTCTTTTCAGAGATGCTGCCACTCAGTGCCATAAGGTCAACCTCTTAGGACGTCACACCGCCTTGGACCTAATAGTAACGTGGCAAAAGACCCCACATATGTTTCACAAGGGTATTGTGGGGCTGGGTTTTCCTTAAAATGGAATGTCAGAACTAGAACAATGACAACAACACATGCAAACCTGCCTTCTGATGAGCGAAATGATGCAACAATCGCAGACAAGCAGTTTACTGTGCGCACACTACAATCACAGCACCTCTGCCTTTCACCCACCTCTGACAAGATGAGTGGATCTGCCCCATGCGATAGGAGTACCCTTGCGCATTCTGTATGGTCCTTGTTGCATGCAGCATTCAAAGCTGTGAGGTTTTGCTGCAACACAAACAGCAGCGCTCTCAGAAACCAAGAGTTTGGACACAGTCATCACACATATGTCTGTTAGCCGCATTTGTCTCAACTGTGAACTGCGGCTAATCCCAACCCACACCCTGAGGCAGAGTCTATGGCACACTGATACAGTGACGCCAGCCTCACAATTTTAATAACAAAATAGGAGAGCCAAATTACCTCGCCAGTTTCATTGACATCTGCACCATGCTCCAAAAGCAGCTTGACAATTTCTACTCCACCCTCCACCACCGCAGCAAAGAGGACTGACCTGCCGTCCTGCCGTCCCACAGCACCACGCACAGTTGAAACTCCCAAACACAAAGAATGTGCAACAAGGCGTAGTAGATTGTGATCGCCACCCACAATTTGTATGAATGAGGCCTCACAACTAGCAGTATGGTTGGCAAATTACAAACCAATCCTGCATAAACCTTGCTGGGCTACAAGCCTGCTCCCAGTTGCAGAGGATTGTGTCATCGGAGACACCAGGTGAACGACATTTACTTTCTGTCAAGGCAGAACCATGCAATAGCACACCTTGCTGAGCATTCGTGAGCCTAACTGACACGCCACAACCAGAGGGTCGAAATCACCAACCGGTGTGACACCACCCCCAACTTTTCTCATCTAAAATGTTGCTGGCATAATGTCATCATCCTCTTCCCATACCTCTCTTGCTGCAGATGCATTTGCTCCCCTTGACAAAAGTAGTTTCACCATTTCTTGGTGTGAAAATATGGCAGCAACCCAAAGTGCAGTGCGCTGACCCTGCACCATGCAAAGTCGTGCACTGTAAAGTTGTCTTCAAACTTAGACACAACTCTGATATCTAGCCGTATCTCCACTGTTAACACCCACAACAATCTTCTTGATGTTCCTTGACAGAGATATAGGCAATGTGGCAAGTATTGATACTTGTTCTTGGATTATGCCAGCATTGGTATATGTTGCAGGCCCATGGTATGACAATCAACTGTTGCTAAGTAACAAGAACAAATACTGACATCACAAAAGGGCATGTAGCCAACTGCAGATGGATGTTGTCCAGCTCTCCCTACGACTCGATGGCCCCAGATTAACATCAAGCATCCTGAAATTATATCAGCATTAACTGAGGCAGATCATGCTGTTGCATCAGATTCTGTCAACACAGGCTGCACACAGTTTGAACATCTTGCATGGCACTTGAGCCCCTGGTACCCAGCACACAGCTCACTGCCTCTGAATGCCCCCTCCCTTGTCTTCTCAGCGCAAGGCTCTTGTTTTGCACTGTGTAGGCAAATGCAATCACAGGAAAGAGTTGATTTCCATGCAAGTCACACCGCGTCTGAATCCTCAATGTCCGCCCCATGTTCCAGGAGGTATTCAGCAGCTTCCAGATGGCCCTTCTCTGCGCAGATGTACAGTGGAGAGGAGCCATTCTGCATCACAAAGGAAGCATCTCAGTCGATACCAAAGCTGTCAACCCCAGGGCGCAACTGGTAGTGATCTGCTCTAATTCTGCCCCTGTCCTAGGACGAAATGTTGTTGATTGCCACCAGTTTCTTTGGCACAATGTGTTTTGTCTGCGAAGACAAGGTTTGTCTTAATCTCGGCTTAATAATCGCAGCTACTGTTGGATGTACTGTTGCCAGTCATACATGCGTGGGTGGGTGGGGGTTTGGGGGGAGGGGTGCACTAGTGTCAACACATTCCACCACAGCTCACCACAATCATGGATTTGCTTGGTCACCTTGGCTTGTAGTTTGCTTTCTTGAGGTTGTCGATAGGATTTTCACCTCCCCCTCGGGTGTCTCCTGGAGGGACATTGGGGTCTTCGGTCTTTGGGCTATTCTCTGACAATCACCTCGTTTGTTGTGGTGGTATATGGATGGAGCAGGTGCAACGAGGGTTTCTGGGCCATGGGGCTAAATTCGATTGATGCTTGCAGGCAGGCTACAACAGGCATGAATATTGCAATGGACATACATATTCTGCAGTTGCTACACAGCACAAGAGAAATGACAATTATTAGTGATGCAACGCTTTAAGCTGTGTAGCAGCTAGAACAAACAAGACACAGCAAAATCAGTTGCCATATGAGTACGATGTGATGCCAAGCATGTGTTCCAGACAGATATACTGCATGGGCAAGGCAGAGCGGGTGCTATCACTGTGGGACTGGTACTTGTGCAAAATGGTTTTCCATGTTATGGCATACATCTGTCTACGAGGTCAATAGTGACCATGCCAGGTAGCAACACATTGTCTGGCAAGAAATCCTGTAGGCGAGTGGCAACAGGCATGAGACTCCTCTTGGCATTCAGCTTTGAGTTCCAATGTTCCAAAACGTTGCAGCAGTCTTTGCAAACAACAGATGGAATAATTACATTGGCTTGGCATCGCACGTCGGCTCCACCTTCCACAAGAGCCTTGATGATGCCCAGGTGGCCCTCAATGCAGACACAGTTCAAAGGTGTGCGTCCGTCCTGATATGTCAAAAACACGCAATCCACCATGAGAGTTACAAACCTTGAAGGCAACTGCAAAGAAACTCCACTTTGAGGAGAGAGCCATTAAAGGGCCATGCCCAACTACACTTCTGCTACAAGTGCCATGAAAGGAACGCAGCCTGAGTGACCAACTAACAAGGAGACCTTCTGTTCACTGGCACTCACAAAAATTCGCCCGCCAAGATCAGACATGGAAACAGCAGACGGATTCGTAAAATGCCAACCACTGAGTTCATGCCATTGGTGAGATCCAGTCCATTTTTTGGCACCCAGCCTCCTGACATTGTCCTGACCATGTACCAGGCTGTGTTTCTGCAGCTGGTGAAGAGCGCACCTTATTCTTTGCATCCAAATTCGCCCCGCACTGGATAAGTTCACGCACAGATGCTTCTTTTCCCACTATGGCAGCAAGATGGAGAGGAGTGTTTCCATGCTGGCAGCACACAAACCAAATACAATCTTGCCTCAGTTCTGCACAAAGAATTCAGACCGCATTTGTGAGCACTGTCAACCAACGGCAGCGGCATTGCAGTTGCGAATCACCCTTTTCTTGCTTGCCATATTAGAGTGCATGGAGAATTGACCAAGTAATGATGCCCACCTCATCTGGTGCGCTGACTTCTGCTCCTTTTGCGTGCACTTCTCTCAGCAGTTCCAAATCAACCTCGGAACTTGGACTTGTGCCAAGCGCCAACACGTGCATGAGTGTCAGCGTGGGGCCAACCTGAGAGCACAGATCAAGGATGTTTGCAGAAGATGCCAGGAGAGCGATGATTGCATGACAAGTCAGATAGCCCATTCGTCAGCAATTCTCCAAATCAAATTCAATACGCCCTTGTCTGCAAAAAGAGCAAGTTCCTTGAACCCAGTAGATGTGCTCTCTCACCTTTGTGTCCAGACTGCGCTCTGCAACAGTCGCCTGGAAGCAGCAAAGGAACAACGAAACAGTCAAGACAAAACATGTGTGCTCAGTTGCATTCTGCCAGCATGATTCCACTGCCGACAAGCATCATGCCAGCAACAGACAGGACGTTCAACTCACACATAGCAATCAATCCGCATTATCGCTGTTTGGGGTCACTCTACTGTTGACCTTGGAAGTCTGTATCCACGCACATACTTCAGGCTCAACTTGCAATCTTCCGAATGCCGCTGCTGTGGCAATGCCAAGACATACGCTGCACAATGCAGACCAGTGCGCCTGTTCCTAGTTGATGCCATCAGCTTGGTTCTGGACCATCCTTTGCCGCCTGGGATCCCTTACGGTACCACCGGGATTCCGATGAGGCAATATGCTACTCTACTTGCCACACAGTCTGCTGGCGAAGCGCCAGCTGTGAGAATGCATGTTGCTGGTGAAGGGGCGAAAATGCAACTTGGGTGTGAATAGAATCGTCGAGCACTGGACGCTAGTCGTTTCGTGCGGGCCCATGTTGTTCAGGGGGCTGCCTGCTGGGCTCGTCAGTCAGTGCTGGGTCCCTGGAGCTTCAGTTTTCAACTGGACGTGGACTGAGGGGACATGGAGACGTTATGTAGGATGGGTAAGTGTGGTGAACAATTGACATGCTGGATGGCCGTCGGAAATCGTACTCTTCCTCTTGTTCGGTTTTCGTTTCTTAACTTACCCTGAGGGAGATGTTGGCCCCATGGCGAGCGTTGCTACTTGGAATAGGCGATACTGGCGTGTTGCATGGGCTAGTGGCATGACGACATATTCCCCAAAGCACGTTCATTGAATAACAATACACAATGCACACGCTGTACTCACCACATGCACAGGCTGCACAGATCGCCACGTTTCCCAATGCATCTGACATTGAACAATGAATGGTGCCCAAACACTAAATGACAGCCAACTTTCGTACCTCCGAACTGCCAGTAACTTCTGCTCCTCGTTCCATGAGCATTCGTGTAAGATCGTAGTGACCATTCCGTGTCGCAGACAGCAAGACACTTTCACCCTGAACAAGGACAGCACTGCAGTCATTTCAAATGCTAGCTTGTCACATCCACATATTCCACACCCCAGTCTTTGAGCAGCACGGCTTGGGACTAGTCTGAAGTAATGCGAAAGGTGCAAATGGTGCAGACTCAGCTAAGCCTGTGTTATTGCTCACCTTGGCCACTGCATTGATATCTGCCCCAGCCTTCAGCAAAATGTCGACACACTGCATTGCTCCGTGACGGGCAGCATAATGAATTGCTCGTTGTCCATCCTGCCATTCAACAGTGCACCAGCACACAATTTGAGCCCGTGCAAATGCACACATCTGCCAGGGCAGCATACGTATGAACTGTGTGACGAGTTTTTCCACACAAACAAACTCACACGTTCATCCATTCGAATGTTGACTGTGGGAGCTGTTGCAAGCTCAGTGCCACTGGACCCACACAGCTGTCAGCTCCCACCTTATCTTCAGCCTCAACATCGCATCCTGCGGCTATGCACCACTCCATCACCTCGGGGTTCTTCTTCATCGCTGCTGCCATCAATGCTGTTACTCCATTCTGAAAGTCCAACAAAGTCGCAACTGTCAGCATTGTGTGGATTCAATGCACAGCATCCTTCAGTGGCAAGAAAGATGCTGTGCAGCGTGCCAGTCCACAATGTGAACCAGCGCTCATAAGGCAAAGTGCTGTTCCGCCCACCTTTTCATTCTTGACGTCTATGTTTGCGCCTCTGTCCAGCAACAGCTTGACCAATTCTGTCTTGCAGCTGCCAAGTACTTCAATCATCGGTGTGAAACCAGTCTAAGTCATGCCACAACAATAAGTCACACAAATATCCAAGTGTCCAAAATGAAAGCGTCAGTGCAGCCGATCTCCATTCAGCACAGCAGGTCATTTCTGCAGCTGCATGCCCTCTGAAAACAAGTCAGCACTCCTCTTGCAACAGCAATGAGATTCTCGGTCATTCACGTGCTCCTCTGGTGCACATCGAACCATGGTATTACCTCACTTTTGGCTTCAATATTGGCACCATGGTCCAACAGTACTTTCATCACAGATTGAACACCACTGTCAGCGGCCACATGCAGAGGCGTCAACTGGTGCTGTTAAATCCACAACACAACGATTTTTCAGTTCACTGTGGCTTAAAAAGGCAAGAAAGGGAACTGGTTAATATTCAACTGTCAGTTTGTCTCCACTGTGTCTGGTCTTCTTGCTTAAAAAATTCAACGCACGTGCACAAGAAGTCTGTCTGGCAATCACAAGCACTCGCGACAACAGGGGCTCCCACAATGCTGCAAAATGGCAAAACTCCCACAGCCCTGTTCAGAGGGGTGCCTCAATGCAGGCCTCCACTTTCCATCCATAACATGCAATTCGTTCTCACAACCCCCCCATCCCCCCCACCCAAATCTTGGTTTGCTGCACGATGAACTGGCGACTTTCCTGGTGGAACGAAAACAAGTGCTGGATCAGAGAGCAACGAGTATGGATGTCACCCTTACAAAGGAAATGCCTCCGTGCTATGCAGCCATGGGACAGCAACAACGAAATCACACAAGTTGCGTGTTCATGGATAAATGAACCTGTCCTTCCCATTCAACAATGGGAACTGTTTTGCCCACTTCCTGGCTCTCAGACAACCAATAGAACAGCAGCCTTGCTCTCCGCTTTTGCAGCCGGGTACTTTGCGTGTTGCGTATCTCATACCTGATCCCTTGCATCAACTTCAGCACCAGCTTCGATGAGTGCCAATGCATACACGGGCACATCTTCTTTGGCGGCAAAGTGCAGCGGAGTCCACCCATCCTGTTCGACCATTGCAACGTCAAACAAGAACTTCAGCATATGCAACAATGTCTTGGACGACCTTTTCGTGGCCCGCAACATTCTACTTATTCTAAATCATGAAATGGAAATATATTGTACCTCATCGCGGGCGTCAATGGTGGCGCCTGCATTCATCACCACGTCTACCAGCTCCTTGGAGTTTGAACGGATCCCGATCATCAGCAGTGTGACACCTCCCTGCAGTTGATCAACAAAATGCTCTCATTAGCCAAATCGATGGCAGCAACATGCCATTGAAGATAGTTTGTCCAGACCACAGTCTCATGGAAAGGCCTTGTTGCTGCTTACCTTCCCCGTGGCGTTCACATCAGCGCCTTGTTCAATCAGGTACTTGACCACTTCGATTTTGCTGTCTCCTTGCGCAGCGAACATGAGTGGAGTCCAAGATTTCTGTGACACAGTTCATAGCACTTGATGTCAGACAACTGCTTCTGATACAAACAGTCCGACCACAATCTTACACAGGCCTCAGCCTGGCACTCCACATTTGCATTTGCAAGCCACGCGTGGTGTCTGCCCTGTGCCTTGACACAAGCGTGGGAAATGCAAGTGTCACATCCCACACTGCACACAATGCATCAGATAACATGCACAGATCAAGGAAAACAACAAATCACTGTACAACTTGTGGCGTGCCACACCATCTGGCCATTTAGAACCAAAACACATCGTACAACTGACAAGACGTGTGACAGTAGTACAGGCCACTTGCACCAAGGCCACGCGGCATTATGTCACCCTGCTGTGCCTGCGTAACATCCGTGTTCCACAGCATTCCAAATACAATGTTTCAGAAAACATGCAACAAAACACCAGAACAGGAGATACTGTCACACAACTAGCAATAATGATTTATACATGCACTCACGTCGTCTGTTGCAGAGAAATCTGCATTGCAGTGCTCCACAAGATGTCTGACCATGTCCAAGTTGCCAAGGCTGCAAGCAAGATGAAGAGGACGATGGCCAGTCTGCGCAAACAAAGCATGCTTCAGGACAGTTACCACACGACATACCCGACAGCAAAATTAAAAGAATGAAAGTGCCTGAAGAAAGTTATTTACAAGGGCCTAAAGTAAGAGTTATCTCCGGATTGCTACAAAGGAGTTTGTCCACCTCTGACATCAATGATACTGAGCAGCGCTGCCAGTGCAGGTTACGTTCTCAGCACTGCTGCTGCATGCCGTTATTTCACTGGCACCAGCAGCTTTGCATTCCATTCTCAACAACAGAGAGGATTGCAGACAACACGCGAATCATTTTCAAAGCCTGGAGTACCGAACCTTTGAAAGGATGTCAAGATATCTGCCCATATTCCTTACCTTCTTGTTTCCTCGATTGACGTCTGCGCCAAGTTCTGTCAGAACTTGGACGCTCTCCAGATGGGAGTTCACGACAGCTGCAAAAAGAGGTGTCTGGCCGTCCTGTCCATCAAATCATGGGCACATGCGTAAGAACGATATCTCCCATTGACATTTTTCAACAACCAGACATTCTTTGAATCCATTAGCCGTCCTGGGCGCCAGCACGTGAATCCCACCAAGACATCCACACTGCTGGATTAACAGCACACTTATATTGAATACATTTCGATACAAAATCTAAGATTTTGTGTACCTGCAGGCAACAATATGTAGCTGCCACTCACCTCATCTGCAGGGTCCAGCCCTGCAGATATTGATGCCTCCAAAGTTGAGGGTTCAGGTGCTGGCTCCCTGTCACTTTCATCCCGTTGGATTCTCAAATTCGGTACTTCCTGTAGCAGTTGCCTCAAAATCTCACCGAATTGTCCTGAGAACTGTGCCACCAGTGCACCGATAATGTTGTCTTCATTCACAGACGAACGCTGAGGAAGAGCTTCAATCTCCTCAACCTCTTCCTCTTCCCCTCCAGGTGCTTCCTCTGCTGTGGTCCTCAGCTCTGCAAAACAATTTGACTCTGCTCAAGGGCTGCGCATGTTCATTCTTGAAGGTTGTTCCCACCTCCAGGCACTACTGCATTTGCATTTACTTCCCCCATCCCCAAGCAATGGCAGTTATGATTTGGGGCCTTACAATACCCATCAAAACATCTCCAGTAGAGCTAAGATTTCACTAGATGTTTGTTACCAGATGTCTACCAGATGTATTTTAGCAAATTTGACAAGGTGCCAATTCGTGTCGATTTTGACCCACCAAATTTGGGATCAGTCTGCTAAGTACTAGGGGAGATCTTATCCCTCAAACACAGGCATGTCAGACCAAATGCAATCCAAGTGTCAAGGTGACGCATAGATAGGCAAGTTTCTCGATTACACAAATTGGGAGGCACTAGCGTCCCGCCTTGCGCCTCTCTAATTTTGCTCCGATGGGCAGGCGGGAGCGTGTAGACAACGCTTGCTTCTCTGCTACAAAGTGTGGGCTCCAAGTCACCATGCCCAGGGGCCGTTTTTGAGCCACCTGGAGATTTGGTCTGACACACCCGTGTTTGATGGGCTTTCCCAATACACAATTGCCTTGATTGCCACTGTTGCCACAATCGACATTCTCTCTGGGACAGAGGAAGCAATGATTAGTAATTTGTACTAATGATAAAACAGGCTCCAGCCCGGGTCATTTACCACTTCCAATGGACCAGGTGAAGTGCTCCAATGGTCCAATCAGCTGCCGAAGTGCTCCAAGCACTACAGTTTCAGAGCCACCTTGAGGCTTGCACAACACTTTTGTCTGACATGCCTGTGTTTTGGGGTCACGTCTCCCTCAGTACTTAGCCAATTGAGCTAAAAATTTGGTGGATCAAAATTGACACAAAACTAGACAACTGATCAAAATGTGATCGTCACTACCGATGTTTTCATGCTTTTGCTCATGGCAGCAATTCATAATCGTCATTCTTTTGGGGATGCAGGAAGTAGTTCTTTTCCTGGTTGGTGAGCTGCCATCAGTGCAAGTACCTGCCCCGCTCTGATACTAGCCCAAGATACTGCAACTGCAGCGCTATGGCGACTGTCTGTTGGACAATCTGCATTAGGGCGTACGCCATACATCGTCCGACAGGTGCAGAGCTGTGTTTCATCATCCTTGGACACAACGAAGCCAGAGGTTTCACACTGTGAGAGACACATGGTAGCATCTGGTGCAGCACAGCATACACACAAGAACATGCTTGAGCACAAGACGTCAGGTCAGATCTTCTGGAGGTGTACTGCTTCCACATTTACCTTCTCTGGGTTGCATATCTGCAGAGGGGCTGGGACCCAAGTTAGTAGAACTTTCTTGCAGTTCAAGATTCTCATCAATTTTAACTGACTGGCGCGGTGGAAGATCTCCAGCTCCACTCCCGTCATATGATGTCAAGGCAATCTCCGCTGCCATGATCCCTGTCGCAAGTTGGGGCTCATCGTTTTCCAACGATGTGCCATCACTTGTGTCGCCATCTGAGGTCTGCAGGCAGGAGGATGCACAATGCACAATCGAGTTAACGCAACTTGCAGTGCCTCCAACAGTGACTCCTTTCATTGGGCACAACTTCCCTCTCCATGACATTCTCTTCAAAAGCAAGGTACTTCGACCACCCACAACTGCTGTCACAATAACAAATGCAACCCAACACCCAGTCAGAATCGATACAGCGAGGTAAAAGACATGATACAAAGAATCTGGCATTCTGGTACCACAAAACACACAGCACTGATGAAAATGGGACACAGATCACAATCCACAGAGGTGACAAGTGGTTGGCAACAAGGCAACAGTGTGCGCAAGATGTCAACGCTAGCATAACAAAGTTAGCACAACAACAGCGCAGCTTCGCCACTGCAAAAGCAACCACTGCAAAAACATTGAATGATGCCATCCAGTAGAACACATATCAGCTGGGTCCCGTGTGGCAGCCAAAACTTTGTGGCACTCACCGTCCGCGGAGTATCACCGCCTGAGGTCCCCGGACTGCTTCTGACTTGTTTCCTCGTCAGTTTCTTGAAAAATCGTCCAGCCAAACTGCCCTTTTTGGACTGTTCCTGAGTGGCCATGCCTGCCTGCATAAATGTTCACAAAATTCAGTGTCAGTTGCAATGCTTTGAGCGTGAGAATCTGAAGACCTCTTTGCAAGGCACTGCCAGAAGTCTGGACACCTTTTGTCTCTGTCTCAAATGGGAACTCCTGGCAATCTCCTCTGCTGGCGCACAACTAACCCTCCTCTGTTGGTACTCAACTGAACCGTTGCAATCGAAAGAGTTTCAGCCAGAGTCCAATAAGATGCCCCATGCACAGGAAAAAACTGGATCAGCCAAGCGGAGCAGCCTGAAAACAGGGTGTTAGTGGCTTCTGAAGGCATCCAGAGTAGGCTACTCTTGCACAAGTGCAGTAGCATTGGCTACGAGTTGAATAGAAACAGAAACGTGTTAAAGAAGCTTTCTCCAGCACAATGATAATGTGAATACTGTGTTTTGGACAAACATCTGCCTAGTGCATATACTATGGTCTGATGGGGCACTCCACTGTCATCAACGCTGCTGAGCAAATTCGTCACATGCTCTGCTGCTGGTGTCCATCGTGTGAAGGGTGGCGATTCGTCACATGCTGGCAACTGTATTGAATTTTCTTGACGTCAAGATGAGGAAGATAACCTGAAAGCAACCATGCATGCAGCAAGGCTTGTGCCACTGTCCATGGTTCGTCCAGCCGTGGCTAAAACAGCCACAACATGTCTGGATGCCAAGAACAATGGCCATTGCCACATACATTACAGGTTTGTCAGCAGATACCCCCACCCTTGTCGAAATTTTGTGGCATATGTAGAGCAAATCATGCCTCACTCAATCCCTTGCTCTTGCATCAGTGCATCCACACCGTTGGAAGCAAGACAACACCTGTTCACCAGGCATTCTCAAAGGCAGATTGAAGCAATGCCCTTCCAATAGTTCCATGTTCATCCTCCCAACAATGAAGTCACACTTGAAATCGTGCTGCTGATACAATACTAACCTTAGGTAGTGGAGACTGGTACTGTGTGTTGCAAGGCATTGATTGTCTGCACACTTAGCATGCAGTGAGCCCACGGCGATTTTAGCGTGCTTCATGTTAAATGGCTGAATGTCACGTTGGTGGTGGGCTGAGCGATCCCAACCTGTGACACTACGCAAAAAATTGCATGATTGCACCGAAATCGATGCATGCTGATATGTGGACCAAACCATCTTTGTCCTATCCAGGAAGCACCCAAATTAATATTTCACTTTCGATCGTCAGAACCATCGTTTCTAACGAATTCTGCCCCTGGAACATCAGTGCTGCAGTGGGGGGAAGTGGATAGAATGAAGCGCCTTTGGCAGCACAGACGACAGCAAGTAGCAAAATACGAACACAACAATTCGTTGATAAGCGTTCAACGGCAATGGAAGCCGCATCATCACAGCACCCTTGTGTTGCACCAGGCATCGTGTAGTGCTGCAAAGTACCAAGAACGCTGACATACGAGTCGGCCGTAAGGACAGGATCCTGAGCTTGACGGCAATTTGACGTTCGGTGCGCCAAATCGCCACAAGTTTGGTTACCAATGTGGAACATACATGTTCAGGGCAGATTGCAGCATGCTTGCTTTCTTTTACAAGAGCGCAGATTCAAAACCTGACTTGATGACTCCTAAAAACACCAGCTTCGCACTGTACAGCGTTCCGCGAACAGTACATCGTACATCACTTGTTTTCAGTGCGTCGAGGTGCGGTCAGCCACCGCCCTTCCGTCACACAGCCGACCGCTGAAACGGCCGGTTCCGTCAAGGAGCCCCCAGAACCCGGAAAGTACTGCCGCCCTGATTCACGGTCCGTGCACCCTGCCGCCGCCCGAGCGGGCCCCGCCGCGAGGTCCTTCGCGACAGCAGGAAGCGACAGCGCCTCGAGCACGGCCAGCGACTGCAGGTTTGGGCCCCTTGGGGCCCGCGGGCTGCGCGTCCAGATGCCTTTCCGTTTCGAATGGATCGACTCTCGTATCGAGCAGCGCACACTGCGCCTGCGACCTGGAACCCCGGCCGGGCACCCGACCCCTGAACGCAAATGGCGACGTGTCGGCAGGTTGCGGCCATCCGAGGCAATGCTCCGGGAGAGGTTTGAGGGAGGCGTGGTCACCCGGGCAAACGGACGAGTGCGCCCGGCGTGTTCCGGGGAGGCCAGGTGGGGATGGAAGCCACTGCGGGCAGCGGGGTGGCCCGTTCGTGCACGGAGGGGCCAGTCCACCCCACCAGAGGAGAGGCGCACGTCAGGGCGCGCACAGGAGGAGCTGAGCAGCCGCGGAAGGGCGCCGGGCGGGGCGCGGCGATGGGCGCCCAGCGACAGCCCGGCGGCTACTTCGGACGCTGCCACGGCAGCATCGATGTCCCGGTACCGGGATGGCCTTGCACACCCCAGGGCATGCAAGCCGACGGCGGCGATCTCACCCATTGAGCCAGGCTGACATTGCCCCATGGATCCCTGGAATAGAGGAGCTGGGTCGTGCATGTCCACCCCTTTCCTCCGCACCGACGTCGGAAGCGACTGTTGCGCCCACAGTGGGCGCCACGCGAGACAGGAAGCGAATTCGGCGTGATCTGCTCCGGAGATCGACGCTGCAGTGTGCTCTGCGCCCTTCACCCACCCGTGATGCGACACTTGCGATGCGACTTCGCGACGCCGTCCGCCTTCCCCTTCAACCCGCGGGTCGCCAAGCTCCTCGGCAGCCGCCTGCGCCTTCCCCGCGAGAAGAGACGCCGTCCGCCTCTGCGCCCGCTGGCCACTGCGCCGGCGCGCCTCGGTGTCGATGCTGATGCGCCCCAGTGAAGGTGTGGCGGGGCTTCCCACTGCAGCCGGAAGCGCGAGGCAGCCAAACCCTGCTTCTTGTCGTGGATGAGGTGTTGGCGGCAGGCTGGGCAGTTTGCCTGAACATGCGTACAAATACGCTCTTAAATAGCTGAGCGGCTGGTGGGCAGTTGGCATCACCAGGCGAACGGCCGATGGTGGAAGGTGACCCCAGGATCTGAATCCGATTTCTTCTCCATCCACTTCCTGTATCATGCGGATTTCCTGAGTGCGCCCCTCACACTAGAGTGAGTGCTCAGGGATCTGCACTGCGAGTACTCCGGGATCCCCAGAGTGAACCTGGTTCCCTGCCCCTCCGGAAGGAAGGCACGAGAAGCTGCAGCAAGGGAAGGTGGCACTGCCTTCTGATGCGGTGGTCCCGGACTTGAGCTGTGCGAATGTGGGTGTTGCTCGCTGCGGCGGCGACCCTGGGGGAGTGTCTCTGGAGTGTTCGCTGCTGGTCATATGACAGGCATGTTGCCCGTTCGGTCAACGAGCCACACACGCCTGACAGATGGCGACAGCCTGGGTGGAAACATCACAGACCAGCGGGAGATTTGGCATGGGCAGCCGCCAAGCGCTGCAAGGAGCAAACAAATACTCTGAAAACCTACGGTAATGCCCATTACTCGCTATCTCAAACACGTATGAAATAGGTTGAATGGCTGAATGGAACGCCCCTCGCGTTTCTGGATTATCAGCACACTTGTCCTGGTTGGAAAAGTCAAAATTGCGGCTGTGATGCTGCACAAATTCGGAGATTTATGAGCAAGTGTGGTAGCTGCGCTTCCTGGACATTTAATGAAGAGTATGCGATATTTCTGTTGTGGAACGACTCTCAACAGGAAAAAGTACAGCCGAAAGGTTCATCAAATATAAGTTGACTCAGATATAAACAATGAAAGAAAGGATGGGTGCACCTAGCAGCCCAGTGTGCTGATTATCCAGGAGACCTCTGTGTAGCCGCTGCCAGCGAAACTGCATCACAAAGACTCTTTGAAAGGCATGTTTTACCCAAGCATGTCAGCAAATCCCCGTGATTCACGGACACAACCTTCCAAGCGGAGGCGGAGCAAGCGTGCGCACTGAATGTGCGACTGGGATCGACCTCCCGGCGCAAGGGGCAAGTGAGGATTACTCGCCCCACGGACGATCAAGGATGGCGGCGCGCGAGGATCCTAAATTGCACAACAGAAATTGAGGCGTCTCTTTGCAGCAGTAGAGCAGGCTTGGGAGTTTTGCATGCAATGGCTGAATGACATTGCAATCGGCCAATGGAGTTTTAACGGGACCGGGAGCGAGGCCAAGTGTGCTTTAACGGGTGATGAGCGCTGTGCGAAACTCCGACGTGCTCTTCATCCAAGAGAATGGGGCAGTTGCGGTCGAAGATAGCTGCGCTGACAGCATGGATATTGTGCCTGTGTTGCTTTGCAATTCCTGTGACCCAATATCCGAAAGTCCATGTGGACACCGTGCATGGGTGCAGTGATAGCCTCTGCCCAATGGTGACAGAATCATGTTGCTGGTGATGCACGTTACTTCCAAGGCTATCGCCACATAGGGAATTCAATAGAAACAGCAAATTTTGCTTTAAATTTGAAGTTTGGATTTTGTTGTTAGCTCTGTTTTCTTGCAAATGCAAACCTTATTGGTTCGCTCGAATTTATCTCCTTTTGCCACGAAATCGCCTGAAATATGGGTTGGTATATGTCTGCGGGCATTTTATCCCATGCCACATGACTGTGTCCACACCCGCCACTTGAGCTACCAAATGCAACATTTGAGCAATACTGCTCATCTAAGGGGTTTGGCTGTAAATCACTGTGCGTGACGGCTGAGATCTTCTCTTTATTTTCTTGTGAATGCTCCATGTTTCCGTTGGCGGCTAATTAATTCAAATTGTCCTTGCATGTGTGGAGGCAATTATCATGCACTTACTTGATACAACCACATGCTCCAGTTGAAAGCCCTAAAAATCGTTCATGACAGCCAATTGGAGAGAGCAACATGCGCTGAACGCATGCAGGGCTGGTGATTCAATGGGTGCCAGCTCACCGCGCGGATCGTCTGGCGGCTGGAAGCATCAATCCATTGGACATTTGTCAGAATATCTCGGGGATAACTTGGTTGTCAAATTGTGTTGAAGACGCATGGTTTTACATCAGCAATAGGGGAAGAAGGGGTGGGGGAAAGGGGGACAA